GGACATTTTTATTCTTTCTTTTTCAAAATGCCGAGCTCAGAAGCCAAATACACACACACACACACACACACACACACACACACACACACTCATAGCATAGCCAGGTGGATTGAATGCAATGCACTGCATCTATGTATTCTGGTAGCATCTCATTGATTTTGGTTTAAAATAGAAGGGAAGGTAGTGTCCCAAATGAGATATCTTTAACAGAAACCTGAGTTTAACTTTTATTAACTATATAATAATTGATACTGCCAATTACCATTCTGAATTTCATATAGTATAAGTTAGATATTGTTTATCCTTTTTAAATGCATTTATATAAACTGAACCCTCAAATTGCTGGATATTTTAGGCTATATCCGACTTAAGTTTTTTCACCTCTTACATTCAAGTTAGCTTCTTCAGCCCAGATATCAAAACAGTGGAGGAAGAAATGAACTGTATTCCAGGGAATACTTCAAGGCTAAGTGAAAGCACAGAACTGTAGGCAAACAGGCTTGCAAAACAATATTAGTCATAACATCCTTAACAAGTCACAGGATTCTCTCTGTCAGCATGCATGTCAGCTGGCAAAGAATAGATCTGCATGAAAAAGTGCCCACATGCTGGCTGGATCTGGCCGCTTTGGCCAGCTGGATGCTGCTAGATTGTACTATTTAATGTCGAATTGACTTGTGGTAGACAGCTGTGCTGTGTGTCAGCATCCTCAGATGAGGGATGGGAAAAAAAAGACAAGGAAAAAAACGCATTTGAGTGAAGAGAGAATGGAAGGGAAAGAAAGGAAACACAAAAGCTTGTTCCATGACAGGTGTGAGTTGCTATGGTACATACAATAATGTTAAGGACAGCCTCCAATAATCAAGTAAGTAGCCGACATGGGTGGCTAGCAGTGCTGAGACCTGGCTGCTCCATTGGAAGTTTGGAAACACAATTTATTTATGGAACAACTTTATATATCTTAAAATGGTTTTACCATCTTATATTAAATGAACTGTTGACAGGCGTGCACTTTGTCCAGTGAGCACATACTATGTGGATTTTATATGCACATCTGTAGTGTGAATCCACTGGCACAGTGTGTGTAAATTCCAGATGTGGTGAGAGTTTCCCTTGTACAGGTCATCAGATAAAGCAACTCCTGACAGAAACTGTAAGGAAACCAGCAAAATGTTTGACCCAAAGATGGATGTTGTATGGTTTATGTTAAATATATATTCTTTTAATCACTGAAGAAAGCATTAAAAAGTGACCATTGTAATGTATTTTATTGTATATGAAACACAAACTGTCGATGTTTAAATAAAACTCTTTGGCTGCAGAGTTTAGAAAGCTTAAGTTTTTTTTTTTCACTTTGAGAAAATCCAAGCTTACAAACAGACTAAGTCAAGCATGTTAACACACTCCTATAATCCTAGTTCTTAGAGACAACAGGAAGATTGTAAATTGAAGGTCACTGTCTCAGTTACTTCTCTGTTGCAGTGAAAAGCACCATGACTAAGGCATCTTATAAAAGAATGTGGTTAATTGGGCTCACAGTTTCAGATGGTGGAAGAAAAGCAGGACACCAGCAGGAAAATCTGAGAACTCTTTTCTTCATCCACAAGTAGGAGGGAGGAAGAACTGAATATGGCACAGGGCTTTTGAAACCTCACAGTCCTATATCTTAGTAACTGTTCTATTGCTGTGTGAAATGACACCATGACCAAGGTAGCTCCTGTAAGTGGAAACATTTAACTGGGGGCTTGCTTACAGTCTTGGTGGCTTAGACAATTGTCAACATGTGAAAAGAATGGCAGCATGCCAGCAGGGATGGTTCTGAAGAAGTAGCAGAGTTGCTTTTTTTTTCATTTATTTATTTTATATAACCAAGTTCATTTAAATGAAAACAAACATTTATACACAATATTTGGGAATTTGGGCGTCATTCTTTCCAAACTACTTCCTACTGGTAAGGGGCGCTGTCATGGGTGATTCGAAGAAGATGCAGAAATCCTGGCTGTAGTCTGTAAGTTTTGAATGTAGGATCACCTCATACTCTGTTTCAGGTGGTCTGGCTTGATCAAACCACATTAGTCTGGAAGGAATCCACATCTTTTTATTTTCTGTGGAAACAAAAATAGAAATCCTTTTCCCCAGTAACTTGTCCTTGAACTTAAATTTTGGAGTCAAAGCATTTTTTAATTTAATTTATTATTTTACATATCAATCCCAGTTCCCTCTCCCTCCCTCCCTCCTTCTCTCCCTTCCTCCCTTCCTCCCTTTTTCCCTCTCTCTTCCCTCCCTTTTCTCTCTCTGCCCTCTCACATGCCCTCTAACCATCCTCTGCTCCCATACCCCCACCCCAATTCCATATGTAGGGGAATGCCATCCAGTTGGGGCCATGTAGGTCTGACAGGTCATGTGAAGTAGGGACTAGGGCTTCTCTCCTGCCTCTAGATTAAGGCAGTTATCCCAGTCCAAAAACTGTTGTTTCTATGTGAAATGAAAAATTTTATTTTAAAAATATATTCATGAATCTATATAAGTATTTCATATGATATCAATGCATGAATCTATATTTAAAAAGACAGTGGAAAGACAAAAGCCACATGGCAACATACTCTGAAGTGTTGTAAACATCACTTCCTAACAGATGTTTTCCATTGATTCAACCATTGTCTACTTTACTAAGTATTGTATACTGATTTTATGTTTTGTTTATGAAAGAAGATGAAGCAGAGATGGTTACTCTTATATCCTATAATTACACACTCACATTGCTCAAAAGTAATGCCCAATTCAATTTCATGAGCTTTCACCTGTCCCATTATCACTTCAATTAGTCTAAGTATAAGGGAAACTAAATGTCTTATCATGTCAGGCTCTTGTTTCAGGCTATGAACAAACTATGACAGCAAGAATCTGGGTCCCTAGGATTCACAGAGCAGGAGAACGACATTTAGTATGTGATTACTACAGGCCAGAATTAGCACTTAAATAATGAATTCGATTTCTTGAGTTGCAAATTTTAGGTCAGATATGGAACAATTTTGCATGTTTTTATGCCCAATGAAATTAATAGTATTTTGGGAATCAACATTGCTAATACAAAGTAAAATACTGCTCCAGGGAGAGAAAGAAGAAAGTGGGTTTAAACAGAGATTTAAGGATGTCAAGTTTACAAAAGTTTCAATATAAAACTTGATTGTAGATAAATACTAGTCATTAGTTCTTTTCAATTTGCTGAATCAAGAAATAAAATGGGAATGAAGAAGTAGATGTACATGTTGTAAAATTCTAATTAACAGAATAGAGGGAAGCAGTGCATTCAGTACAAAGCTTTGCTTTCTGTCTGGAGCAGAAACACCTCCTGGTCACTGAATGTCCCCATTGCCACTAGGGAACCATTCCAGTCATGATCACACTGCTGTGCTAGAGAATGAGTTCTTATGCTGTTCCTTTACACTGAAGCAAAATATAACTGACCAGGTGAAAACCACTGGTTGAATACACCGACAGGAAATTCATTAGTTAGGTCTCATTCTCTATTCCTATCAGTATGCAAGACCAAGAACATGAACACCAGTCTGAAGATACTTGAACTCCCTACCTCAGAAAGAGGTATCTCAAAGTAGTTACATTATGGCAGCTCTCTCAATGCAGCCCATGGAAAACAGTCAATATCTTATATGTTAAGAATAAAATGACAGGCATGGTGGTACACACCCTTAATTCAAGCCCTCTAAGGGCAAAATCAGGAATATCTCCAAAGTCAAGGCCAACCTGGTCATCACAGCAAGTACAAGGGACTACACACACAGACCCTATCTCTAAGAAGCAAGCAAACAAAATTAATCAATGTATAAATAGTTAAACTGAGAAAAGAGGAAATATATAAAAAGCCAGTCAGACTGACAGGAAGGGAATAGGGCTCTTTGCCTACTGTGTGAGCTGAGAACCTCAGCTGTCACCAGAATGTACTGTAGAAAAATAATATTCCAGCTGTCAATTAATCACCATACATTGAGCATCAGAATAGGAATGCCTGTACCTACTTTTGCTCTCTCTCTCTGTCTCTCTCTCTCTGTCTCTCCCATCTCTTTCACCTATCACACACAGCATACACAAGCACACTTGTTTTTGAAGTGTTAAAACTCGTCAGTGAACTAAGTTAAAAAAAAAAAAAAACCTGAAGTTCATCATTAGGCAATATTCTGGCTTCTTTAAACCATATGTAAGTTTTTAAAGTCTCTTATTCTTCATTTTTGGTCATTCATATCTAACTGCAAAAAGTAGGGTACATATTTCGTAAGATAACCAAATCACAAAAACTACAAATGCTTTACATCTTTTTATATAATTTATGTCTGCAGATAGATGCATTGTTGTTCACTACTCCCATGTCTGATGAACACATGCATGTCTGGTGTACTTGGAGGCAGAAGTGGCCACTGGATTCCTTAGATCTGGAGTGCTTTAAACCCCAATATGAATACTGAACTCTGGTTTGACGTAGCAGCCAGTCTTAACTACTGAGCCACCATCTCTCCAGCCATAGACATTTCCCCCTTGAACCACTGAATTGTTGGTACAGTAAAAAAGACTACATTATGGAATCATGTTTATGGAAACCTGGCTGGGTTTTTGGTTATTTATTTTGTTTTGTTTTGTTTTTTTTTTGTTGTTTTGTATAACCAATGCCAAACAAGATTATTTATTCAATTGAAATTTATTTGATTAAATATACATTACCTCTTCATTTGTCTAAAACCATAGCGAACACATTCCAGGTAAAGATACAAAGCATTCCCAGTTTAAAATAGACCAATAATAAAATTACATTTATAAAACTACCATAATTATGAATAGGTAGTCCACCTGAAAAATACTATACAGAATTAAATAAAATGGAAAAAATTACCAATAAGATTCAGAGTTAAATCATCCTTATTTACAAAATGCTATTCTGTTACCATTTGATTTGAGGAACAATATCATCACATAGGAACAGCAGTTACCTAAACTTCATCTAAAAAGAAAATGGATGCCGAGGAATCGGTCAGGTCTCCTCTGTCTCCAGATGTTCCAGTGCAGGCTGGAGGTTCTGGTGCAGGTTGACTGGAAGTAGGATTCAAGTCAGGAGAGAACTCATTTCTACTTTGAGATGTAAGAGTGGTGGAAGAACTCGAAACTTGGGGGAAGATAAGATGGAAATCCCCTTCATTTGCACACATTTCTCCCTGTTCCAAGAGACAGGAAAAAGACAGTGGGAGTTGAAACCCTGTGCTGCACCCTTGTTAAACCACTAGTTCCAGCCCTTATTCTGGTATCCAAACATTCACACCACAATATTTGATCTGCCAAATAAATCTTGACATTACATAATGGACATTTTAGCTACAAAGGACTAATAATAACATCACAAAAAATTTCAAGGGTGTTTGTCACTGGCAGCAATGCAAGATCTCAATACAGTGCAGACTTACTGGAAATAAGCTTTTTAATACATTAAAACTTTGAAACTTAACATTCAGGTCATTGATCTCGACCTGATATCCTATTTGAAGCATTTCCTGTCATGCCAAGGACAACCTTAAATCCCTCCACCACCAAAAAAAAAGCCTCATGGCATGCTCATAGAAACTTAAGACTAAAGATGAGGGCACAGAGCAGACAACTAGGACAACTAAGCTAGTTCTTGTCTAGTATTGGAAATATGATTTTCTGTGTGGAAACATGTGATTCCAAAGGGGGAAATTATACTGTAAAATCAATAAATTACTTTTATTTTAAAATGTAAGGGTTGGAAAGAATTTCAAAAAATTCAATAAATGACTAAATATGATCTTAGATTTTGATTAGGATCATGTGGGAACCACTACTTAGGAGACATACTTAATACTTTAAAACAATTTAGCCAGTAATCATAAGACAAACATCTAAGTAATTATTTTAAATATTTTTTTTATTTTAAATATTTTAAATATACTCTTATATTACATGAAGTACACATATACTTAACATTAAAAATGCTTGTAACTGAACATTGGTGGCACAGGCCTTTAATCCCAGTATTTGGGAAGCACAAACTAGCTTTCCAGTTAAGGCTCCAAAGCTATAGGGAAACCCAGCCTTGGGGAGAAAAACAAAGCAAAACAAAAACCTGCTTATACATTCAATGATCTTTTAACCTATCATATTACAGTTAAAATTCAAATTCAAATTTGCCTAATATTGATCAAGGTGAAGCTTTTACTTCCTTTGATGCTGGACAGTAACCTGTGAGCCATATAAACCCTGTCCCTCTCAAGTTGGTTCTGGCTAGTGTTTCTCCCTGTAAAAGGAACCTAACTTGATGGAAAGCACAGATAAGCACTGACACAAACACAGACCTTTAAAGAAAGCCTACATGGCATTGGAGGAAACTGCAGGCCTTCAATATCCCTTATTGGGACATACTGTTGAGGATCTGCACAGGTGTTTCCTGGTGGAGGAGTTGGTGGGATCTGTCCTCTAGGATCACCTGGTAAGGCAGGGCCTCCAGGGCCTCTAACCTTGGGAACAAGTGGAGGAATCAAGCCATGGCCAGCTGGTTGGCATTCAGCAGGGACATAGTTGGGCACACTTGCCTTCTGTAACAGAGAAACAATCAGCAGTAAGTAAAGACATTTCATTAACAGCTCCTTTCCTGGGTGTGTGAGGCATAGAAGAAAGCAGTCCATTACATTCTAGTAAGGCTGGGGATAGGCTCAGTATCCCACAAAGGTGCAGGAGCTGCTTATTTGTTATTCTAAGTAGTTTTACTGACTTCACTCTCTCCACACCTCTTCCATATTGTAGTTGAAGTTCTAGCTAAGGCATTAAGACAACAAAAGAAGAACCACGGAATACAAATTAAAAGTAACAAATCAAACTTTCACTATTTGCAGATGATATGACAGGTTACATCAGGGAATACCTAACACTGATAGACACCTTTACCAAAGTGGCAGGATACAAAATTAACTAAACATATAAAAAAATTAATCACTAACCCTACTATATACATATGATAAAGGGGCTGAGAAAGGAATCACAGAAACATCTCTTTTTTTTTTTTTGCATTATCCAAGAAAACATAAAATAGCTTGGGGTAATGTTAACCAAACAAGTGAATAACTTATTTAATAAGAATTTTGAGTCTTTAAAGAAAAAAAAATTAAAGAAGATACCAGAAAATGGGAAGATCTCTCATGCTTTTGGATAGGTAGGATTAACATAGTAAAAATAGTAGTCTTTCCAAAAGTAATCAACAGATTCAATGCAATCCCTATCATAAACCCCAGCACAATTCTTCACAACCTTGAAAGAACAATAGTTCTTCCTATGGAAAAACAGTAGACCCAGGGTAGGCTAGACAACGTTGTATAATAAAGGAACTTCTTTCTGGAGGCATCACTTTCCCTTTCTTCAAGCTCTACTGTAGAGCTATAGTCCTGAAAACAGTTTGGAACTGTCACAAAAATGGATAGGAAGACCAATGGAATCAAATTTAAAACACTGATATTAACTCATACATCTACCAATACCTGATTTTTGACAAAGCAGCTAAAGTTATACAATGGAATATAAAAAGCATTTTCAACAAATTGTGCTGGCATAACTGGAGGCTGACCTGTAGAAGACTCCAGATCACCATGCATAATACTTAAGTCTAAATATATCAAAGAAAGACCTCACCATAAATCCAGCCACATTGAACCTCCCAGAAGAGAAAGGGGGAGGTATCCATGAAAAAATTGGTACAGGAGCCTGCTTCCTGAACATAACTCCAGTACCACAGACTCTGAGATCAACAATTAATAAATGAAATCTCTTGAAATTGAAAAGCTTATTTAAGACAAAGAACACAGTCAACAAGACAAAATGGCAGCCCACACAATGGGAAAAGATCTTCAACAACCCCACATCTGACAGAGGGCTGATTTCCACAATGACAAAGAACTCAAGAAGCTAGGTACCAAAACACCAAATATTCTAATTAAAAAGTATGGTACAGAACTAAATAGAGACACCTAAGAATGTGTTCAAAATCCTCAGACACCAGGGAAATGCAAATCAAAAAACTCTGAGATATCATCTTACTCCTGTCAGAATAGCTAAAAACAAAAACACAAATGACAGTTTATGCTGGAGAGGATATGGAGACTGTAGTAAATTCTTCCACTGCTGGTGGGAGTGCAAACTCGTACAGACATTTTGGAAATCAGTATGGTGGTTCCTCAGAAAAATGGGAATCAGTGTACCTCAAGTTTCAGTAATTCCACTCTTAGGCATATACCCAAAATATGCACACTCATATAACAAGGACATCTGTTCAACTATGTTCATTGAAGCATTATTTGCTCAACTGAAGAATGGATGGAGAAAATGTGGTACATTTAAAGAATGAAATACTATTCAGAGGGAATAAACAATGTAATCTGGAAATTTGCTGGCAAATGGAAGGAACTAGATGGATCCATCCTGAATGAGGTAACCCGGTCACAAAATGACAAACATATTATGTACTCACTCATATATGGCTTTTGGACAGAGCAAAGGATGGCCAGCCGACAATCCACAATGCCAGAGAAGCTAGGAGACAAGGCGGACCCTCAGAGAGACATACATGTTGCCGTGGAGAAGGAGAAATGGGCAAGATCTTCCTAGAAAATTGGGAGAATTGTGGATGGTGGGAGTTAGGGAGAAAATGATGAGAGAGGTAGGCATGATGGAACAGGAAGATTGAGTTAGGGAAAGAATAGGGGAGAGCAAGAAAGGAGACATTATAATAGAGGGAACCATAACAGGTTTTAAGAGAAATCTGGCACTAGGGAAATGCCAAGAGATCTATAAGAATGACCCCAACTCACAATGTGAGCAACAGTGGAAAGGCTACCATAAATGCCTTACCTTGATAATGAGATTGATAACTAACTTATATGCCATCATAGAACCCTCATCTAGTAGCTGATGGAAACAGAAGCAGTACCCACAGATAAACACTGAGCCAAACTCCTAGAATGCAGTTGCAGAGAGGGAGGGATGTTGAGACAAGGAGTGAAGGTCAGGGTACAGAAACTCACAGAGGCAGCCTACCTGAACAAGGGGAAACACATGTACCCAAAACTGATAACTGGGTAATCAGCATTGGACCGACTTAGACCTCTAGAATGTGGGACTCAGGTAGAAGGCCCCGTAAGTCTAAGGGGCTTCTGTCAGTGGAACCAGGATGTATCCCTGGTGCACAAAAGGTCTTTGGGTCCACATTCTCCATGGAAAAATATTCACTTAGCCTAGAGCCAGGAGGGAGGGCCTAGTCCCTACTTCAAATAATTTGACAGATTTAGATGATCCCACCTGGAAGGCATCACCCTCCCAGTGGAGGGTTACGGGAATAGGATGGGAAGGTTCCCAAGGGGGCATGAGAGAGAGAAGGATCAGGGATCAGTATCTAAAACAAGAAAAAATAATAAATATAACTAAAAAAAGATTCAAATAAGATTTCAAGGGAGAAAATCTGAAATCGTGTACAGCATCTAAACAAGCTTTGAATTTCATGTAAATGTTGTACTTCTTTTAGGGCGATATATTGGGCTTCTTTCTGTTTTTTATCTTAATATTTTTTTTTCATTAACAGGAATGGGTGTTTTCCTACATGTATATCTTCATACTATATACATACAGTTTTCTGGAAGGATACAATAAGCCTTCAGATCCCTTGAAACAGGAGGTAAGAAGGTGCTGGGAATTAAACCCAAGTTCTTTAGGAGAGCAGCCAGGGCTCTTAACCTGTAAGCCATTTAGCAAGCCTATATGGATTTTTGAGACAAGATCTGCTTATAAGGCCCACACTGGCTTTTAATTTACCATCTTTCTGATGTAGCCTGCCAAAATGCATGGGTTACATGGACCATCAAAATTTGTCTTGTGATCTGTACTATTTCACAGAAGGTTACAAGCCAACAATGAGAATGTTAACTCTAAGTACAGGTATATTATATTAATATCATAATATCACAAAGTAGAAGAGCTCTCACCTTGTTCTAATAAAACAGAGAAACTAGTTGTGGATTCTTGGGTAGAATTCAGTTTCCAATACTTACCCCAGGGTCTGTTTTGGTGGCATTCTTCTTGTATTCCAACGTGGAGGATGCTGGCCTATCTAGACAGGAAAATCAAATCAGGAGAACTTCATGAGTTCTCACTTTATCCCACGACTGTTTCCAGATCCAAGTGACCCTGACATGTTCCACTCCCCCTGGCCAGTACAGAGAACAACTGGACACAAATACAATAGTATTCCTCATTAGGGTCCCCAAAGCACCATGAGAACCTTGGAAATTTCAATAGGACAAAAGAACATTTGTTTGCAGTGTGCTGGTGACCTTTCCAACAGGCTCTTAGGTAATCGTACTAAGGTAGCCTAAGCGAAGAACTCAGGATGAAGCATCTGCTTCCTCTGTCTATGTGTGACAGCCCTTAAAATATATTTTTGTTAAAAAGTACCCTTATAGATAACAAATACACAATGAAAATTTAAATGGTTTCATTTTATACTTAATGTGATTTTCTGTCATACCTACAGTAGATACACATCTTTCCCACCTTCAGAGGGTAGTGAGTGATAATTGAAGAGGTCCTGGGAGATTCACTCAACTAAATGAAAAATGATTAAATAAGCTAACTAATAAAGAACATGAAACCAAAAAAATTTACTGGTTGTCTTACACAAATCAACTGACATTTTCCTGGCTAAAATCTTTCACTACTACACTGGATATAAATAAATGGTTTAAAAAGTTGAGAAGTAAAAAAAAAAAAAAAATATAAAAAAAAGTTGAGAAGTTTGCTATTGAAAAGAGTAAAGTTTGTATTACAACCCTTGAAGGAAACCCTTCAAATGGCAACAAAACTAACCTTAACACATTCATTAGATGACATACATGAAACATGACACAACAAGAAAGGGCTAGAGAAATGTGTTTACAGGGTAATGTTATGGGCTGCTCTTCCTTAGGACTTATGCTTAATAGCAAGCCACTACACAGCAGCACACAACTATCTGTAACTCCACTTCCTGGGGCACTGATGCCCTGTTATAGCATTCTGTGGAATCAAACACACATGTAATACACAGAAATCAGATGGTAGAGATGACAGATTAATGGGATACCTACCAAAGAAAGGTGCTAACGGGGAATACAACCAGGCCAAAGGAGAGAAGTGACTTATAGTGAACTGCAATGTGGATGTTGTCAAGGAAAGGAATATAAACCTATGACAACTGAAATGGTACTTGTCTATTACTTGAGTAACCAAAGGGGACATTACGATGTAAAACCAAAAATTATTTTTATTTAACAATGTAAGTATATAAAAAAATTTCAAGGACTTCAAAATTAATTATGTTGGAGAGGATGTGGAGGAAGGGGAACACTCTTTCACTGCTGGTGGGAGTGCACACTTGTACAGCCATTTTGGAGATGACTATGTTGGTTCCGCAGGAAAATGGGAATCAGTTTACCACAGATCCGGCAATGCCACTCTTAGGCATATACCCAAATGATTTACATCCATGAAACAAAGACATGTGCTCAACTATGTTCATAGCAGCATTATTTGCAATAGCAAGAACCTGGAAGCAATCTAGATGCTCCTCAACTGAAGAATGGATAGAGAAGATGTGGCACATTTACACAATGGAATACTACTTTACAGGAAAAAAAAACCAATGGAATCTTGAAATTCACAGGCAAGTGAATGGAACTTGAAGAAACCATCCTGAATGAGGTAACCCAGTCACAAAAAGAGGAACATGATATGAACTCACTCATATATGGAATTTAGACATACAGTAAAGGATCACCAGCCTATAATACACACCTCCAGAGAAACTAGGATACAAGGAGGATTCTAAGAGATTCACTTAAGGTCCGTCAGAGAAGGGGAAAGGGACAATGTCTCTGAGCATTTTGGAAGTGGGGGGACAACAGTGAGTGTAGAGGGAGCTAGGAGAAAGAGAAGGGGAGGACAGGAAAGCACGTGGGACTTGGAAGATTGAGTCAGAGGAGCAATAGACAAGAGAGGAGAGAGAGAGACAGAGAGAGAGAGAGAACCATAAAAGAGGGAGCCATTAAAGGTTTGAAGAGAAAACTGACTCTAGAGAAATATCCAGTGACCTACAAGACTGACCTCAACTAACAATTTGAGCAACAATGGAAAGGCTACCATAAATGCCATTTCATGATAAGGAGATCAACGACTAACTTATCATCCATCATGGAGCCCTCATCTGGTAGCTGATGGAAACAGAAGCAGACACCCACATTTAAACACTAAGTTGAACTGGAATCTAATGCAGAGAGGGAGGACAAGACCAGACATCAGAAACACACAGAGACAGCTGACCTGAACAAGGAGGAGCTAATGGGCCCCAGACTGATAGCTAGGAATCCATCATGGGACTGAATCAGACAGCCTGAACATGGGTCTCAGTTGGAAGGCCTGGGCAATCTAAAGGACCTTGGTCAGAGGAACCAGGATGTATACCTGGTGCACAAATGGACTTTGGGAGCATATTCCTTTAATCTGGAGGCAGAAGGGGAAGCCTATTCCCTACTCTAAATGACTTGACAGATTTAGGTGACCCTTCCTGGAATGCATCACCCTACATGTGGAGTGGGGTGGTGGGAGTGGAGGGTGGTCTGAGGAGATGGGAGAATGGGAGAGAGGGAAAGAGCAAGTGAGGGAGAGGGAACTGGGGTTGATATGTAAAATAAATAAATAAAGAAACAAACAAATAAAAATTGTATATCTCCCTCTTTAAAAAAATTAAAATATAATCATGTGGGAACTGCTATTCAGGAGTAATGCTTGAAACCACTTTTAAATAACTTTTAGAAAACATATAACTAATTATTCAAATAATGGCCCCAATGCATTTCTATGAAATGAAACACACATAATTAAAATCTAAAAACTACTTGCATCTGGGCATTGTTGATACAGACATTTAATCCCAACACTTGGGAAGCAGAGAGATGTGGATTTCTGTGAATTCATGGCTAGTCTGTTCTACTGAGTGAGTTCCAGGGCAGGCTTCCAACATATACAAAAACTTTGCCTTGGGGAGAATAAAACAATCAAACAAAAATACCCCACAAACAGTCTGTACTTTTACTGATCTTCTGGCCTATCACAGCACAGTTCAAATTCAATGTTCCTTATGGTGGATCAAGGTGAAACCTTGACTTACTTTGTTGATGGAATGTATCTTTGAACCATGAAAACTGTTTCCCCCTCAAGTTGGTTCTGGCCAGTATTTCTCCCAGTAACAGAAACCAAACTTGAATAAAAGAACAGATAAACATTGACACATGCAGGGACCTTTAAAAATGCCTACCTGGCACTAGAGAGAAAGGTGGGCCTGCAAAGTCCCTGGGTGTGATATACTGTCCGGAATCTCCACAGATGTTTCCAGGAGGAGGTGGAGGCAGGATTGGGCCTCTTGGATTCCCTGGAAAGGCAGGGCCTCTAGGACTTCTGACCAAAGGATCCAGTGGAGGAATCACGTCATGACCAACCGCATTGCATTCAGGAGGACTAGAGTTAGGCAAAGGTGCCTTCTGTAACAGAGTCACAATCAACAGTAAGTGAAGCTTCTTGATTCATAGCTCCTTTCCTGTGAGTGTAGGAATTATAGAAAGCCTGGGAACAGGCTGAATTTTCCTCATGTGTGTGAGAGCCACTTATTCACAGTCAGAAGTAGTTTTACTATCTCAACAGAAAGCTTTATGGATGGAACTAATCATCTACCTAGCTCCACCACAAACACAAATACAGTAAAAGCAGATCAAAACAGACACTTTTAAAAACAGATATACACCAGGATATGTTGGCACAGGCCATAAATCTCAGAATTTGTCTATTAGAGAAAGGTGGATATCTGTCAGAATGAGGGTGTCTGGTCAACAGAGTGAGTTCCAGGACTGACTCAAGATCTACTGGGATATCCTATCTCTAGGAAAAAACAACAAACAACAACAACAAAACCCCCCAAAACATAGAACTTTTATCAAACATAGATGCAAAAGGAAAATGTTTAACATGTTGGTGATTTCAAAATGATCCAAATTAATTTTATATTTGAAAAATGAAATACATGTTTAGATTCAAATAAGATTCAAGGAAGAAAATCTGAAATAGTAGACAGCACATATACAACCTTTGAAGTTCTTCTAAAACTTGCACTTCTTTAAGTAGGAGATATCAAGTTTTTTTCTCTTGCTTTTTTTTTTTTGTATATTTATAATGCCAAAGAAATGGGTGTCTTGCTTGCATGTATATCTGCATTCATTGTTAAATTTTTGATTGTGAGCCTTGCCTTTAATGGCTGAGCCATCTCTCCAGCCCTATAAACTCATTGTGAAAGAATGATAGGATAGGGATTCAGATCCCTTGAATTGGAGGTAAGGATTGTCTGCCTGAAATCATGTGCTGGGATTCAAACCCAGCTCCTACGGGAGAGCAGCCAGTGCTATTAACCTGTTAGCCATTTCTCCAGCTCAGTAGTTTTTTGATTCACAATCTATGCATATTGGCTACACTGGCTTTGAATGTACCATACTCCTGCCTCATGATGTGGGAGTTGGAAAAAACTCGAATCTTGTGGTGAGGTAAGATGGAAATGCCCTGGGTTCAGTCACATTTCTCATGTTCCAAGAGATGGGTAAAGGACAGCTTAAGTTCAAAGCCCAAATACAAAACCAAAATCTTCAGCACTTGTACTGATAGCCCATCACTCAGACATTACTTGATCTAAGACATAAATCTTGACATTGACAAAAAAACCTTCTTAGCTACATAGGACTAATAAGAAAGAATGTCTCCAGCAATTTTAGGTACATTTTACCTATTTTGGCAGCTATGCAAGATCTCAATACATTGGAGACTTACTGCAAAATAGATTTTCAATGGAGTAAATCTCAAAGACTTAACATTCCCATTATGATCCTGACTTGATATCCTACAAGATATATTTCCTGTGTTGCCAATGAAATAAATTCCCTCCAAAATTCTCATATCATTCTCCTAGAAGGTTAAGAGTAGTTGCCATGGCAAAGTACAGACACTTAGGACAACTGAGATGGTTCTAGTCTAGTACTTGAACACTTGATTTACCGTATAGGAACATGTGAAGCAAAAGAGAAAATTATGCTGTATAAACAACAAATAACTGTTATTTTCAATTGTAAAGGCTGGAAAGAAGTTGAGGAATTCAACAAATTCAGTGAGGTCCATGACTGGCACCATATCTAATGGGAACACTATCTCTAGTTAAAAAAAAGAAAAAGAAAAGAAAACAGACACGTTTTAATCGAACACACACACACACACACACACACACAGGAAAATGATTGATATGTGGACATTTATAAAATGACAAAGTCATTTGAAAAGTAAAATACATACATATTAATATTCAAATAAGATTCCAAGGAAGAATTTATGAAATAGTGTAAAGCAAGTAAACAAGCTTGGAAGTTCATGTAAAAGTTGAACTTCTTGAATGGGAGATATCTGGTTTCTTTTTCTTGTTGGATTATTTTAGTGTTTTTTTTTTTCATTTCACAGATATGGTATATTTGCCTGTATGTATGTCTGCATACTATAGTCATTCAGTGTTCTGTAAGGATAGAATATGCAAATCCCTTGGAGGTAAGATGGATTGTGAGCCACCACTCCAAGCTTGGAAATTAAACCTAGGTCCTGTATAAAAGGAGACATTGCATTTAACTGGAATGCCATTTCTCAAGTCTGTGTGGTTTAATGAGGCATATTCTGCATATATAGCCCACACTGGATTATATATTCCCATCCTACTGCCTCACTCTGGAAACTGCTGGGATCACATGTACCATCAAACAAAGGCTAGTGAGCTAAACAATTTCACATAAGGTTACAGACCAACAAAGAAAGTTAATGCTAAGCGCAAGTATATTTAACTCAAGCCTTGCTCTAAAATAAACAAGAAACTAGGTGTGCATCCACGGGTAGAATTCAATGTTCAGTACTTACGTTAGGATGATGTTTGTTGGCATTCTTCCCAGAATACAATGTGCAGGATAAATACATATATAATAGGTAAAATACATACATAATAGGATCCCAAAAAGATTTCAAGAAAGAAAATCTGAAAGAGGGTACTGAAAGTAAACAAGCTTGGAATTCATCTAAAAGTGTACTACTTGAAGTGTTCGATATCAGGTTTATTTCTCTTGTTTGCTTATTTTAGGATATTTTTTATTTCAGAGACATGGGAATTTGCCTGCATGTATTTCAACATATTGTATCCATTCAATATTCTGGAAATATATGATAGGGCATCATATCCCATGAACAGGAATTAAGAAGGATGGTCATCAACTACACAGGAGTGGGGAGTTAAACCCATGTCCTGTAGGAGAGCCAGCCAGTGGTCTTAAAAGTGTAAGCCATTTCTCTACTCTAGGTTAATTTTTTGAGGCAAATTGTCTTAAATAACCCAGACTGGCTTGAAATTCCCCTCCTCCTGGGTCAGCCAGCAAATTGCAAGGAACGCATGGACCATCAAATTCTGGCTTGTATTCTGTAAAATTTCACAGAAAGTTACAAGCCAACAATGAAAGTGTTACAGATAATTGAAAGTATATTTAATTAATATCACGTATGAAACAACTCTAACCTTGTTCTAATAAAATAAGAAACCAGTTGTTGATCTATAGGTAGAATACAATTTCTAATACTTACCACAGGGTCATGTTTGGTGGCACTGCTACCAGATTCCAATGTGGAAGTGACTGGTGCATCTAGACCAAAAAATGAAACCAGTGAAACTCATGAATTCTTACATTATTCCCAGATCATTTCCAGATCAAAATGACAGTGACTTGTTCCACTCCCCTTGCTGGGACACAAAACAGGTCGACACGAAGCAGCCCCAGACTTAGACAAAATTCAAAATTACGGACATACTTTTGTAGTATGTGGCTGATGCATCCAAATGACACTTGGCAAACTTGACCAGTTACCTTAAATGACCAAATTCGTATACAGCATGGACTTCCCATTTTCCAGGTGTGCCAACCTTTCCTTCAGTACATATGATATATTTCAGTTTATAGGTACCCTTATAGATAATGCAACAATTACACAATGAATATTGAAATTTCTGAATTTTATTATTTCTTAATATTAGTTACTATAATATCTATAGTAGATAAACATCATTCCGTAGTTAGTGATAGCTGAAGACATCTTGAGGGAATCAATCGACTGTATATAAAAATATTAAATTAGATAATTAATTAAGAACAAGAACACAAATTGTTTTACTGGTAGTCTTTTAATATCCATTGATATTTGCCTGCCTAATGTCCTTGTGTGGTAAACAGGATCTATCTAAATGCCTTAAAAAGAATGATGGAAGCTATGGAAGAGTAAGTTTGTATTATGACCAGATACAGGAAACCCTTCCTCTTGCATCAAAGCCAAACATCAACACATACATTGGATTACAAGCCAAAAATATTAGACAAAATAAAGTTCTGGAAAAATGGCTTAAGTGGTGATGGGTATAGTAAATCATTACTATGCCATCAAAACTAACCTTACACATACACACACACATTAGCTGACACACCTATATCTTTCACAGCATGAATAGTGTGGTCAAATGGTCAAGGGAACAGTCTACTCTTCCTTAGGACCCGTGCTTGGTTCACAGAAACTACACAGCAGCTGACAGCCATCGGTATCTGCAATTCCAGGGTCTCTGAAGGCTTCTTTGGTCCTTCACATGCCCCACACATGAATGTGATACGCAGAAAGAAGATAGAAGCATTGCCAAATTCATGGGATAACTGCCAAGGAGGGCTGCTAACAGGGCATACTACCAGCCAAAAACAGAAAAATGCCTTGCACTGAATCTCTATGAAGATGCTGAGAACAAAGCCCAAGTCCTCAGTTCTGCTAGATGAGCCAGTATTAACCAGTCACCTACTACTTCTCCAGCCACAGATTCTTCCCTCTGGAAGCACAGAGTAAAATGTCGTCATTATGGAATCATGTTGATGGGACACTGGCTGGGTTTAATATCAACACTGCCAAATATGACTATACCTCAATTACAATTTGACTATAGCTGTAGATACCAATACGATTGTCTATAACCATATGTTTCTACACATTCCTGGTCTAAAAACTTTGAGAGTAGTGGTGAAGATATCCCCAATAGGGAGACTGAATGCATATCTACCAGGATATTATTAAACATAATAATCCAATTAAAAGATACTATCCATATTGAAATCAAAGGGAAATAACTTACTCATATGATTAGTATTCATATCACACGTACTTTTTAAAAAATAATTTGAAATTCTAATTGCAATATTCTTCCAGCTGAGCACCAGGAGCAGTACAGAAGGAACATCAGTCGCCTAAACAGCCAATTAGAAGAACTGAGTGCCATGGAAAGTGCCATGTCTACTTGTGTTTCAGGAGGTCCCTGCAAGTGCAGTTTGTAGGTTCCGGTGCTGGCTGTTGGGAAGGGCGAATGAAGTCTGGAGGGGGCTCATATATACTATCATGTTGTGTAAGTGGGGCCATTGTGCTCCTTTGGGCAAGGTAAGATGGAATGCGACTCAGCACCTCCACGTTTCTAAGGATCCAATATTTAGGAGTACGACAGTGAAGTTGAACCCATTTACATTTCACTTATGCAACCAAAAGCTCCAGACCCTATTTTTGATCTGCCCAATTCAAAAGCACAATATATAATCAAACAAATATATCTTAAGTGGGTTACGTACTTGTTCAGTACATATCATTAATAAGTTCTAATATCACTAACATTTCCAGGGGTATTTGTACTATCTAAAGAGATATATGAGATCTCAGTGCACTGAAGTCTTACTGCAAAAGAGCTCTTCAATGGAGTAAACTTTCAGAATTCACATTCCTATCGTGACACGAACCTGACTTCCTAAACGTGAAATTCCCTGTAATGTCAGAGAAAGGACTGGCACCCTAAAAAAGGCATATCTTTCACCTAGGAGCATACAACTAGAGGCCATGGCAGAGAGGACACCTAGGAGCACTGATTGGTTCTTCTTCTTTATGTTATAGACACATGGATACATGATTCACAGGAACAAAATATTACATGTATTTTAGATTTTAAACATGATTGGGTGGGAACAATGATATTGGAGAAAACTTTGAAGTAATTGACTCCTGAATTTTTAGCCAAACATCGAGACATTACATACTATATTGGCCTCGGTACATTCTCATCAATGAAGACACAGAAATTTAATCTGAAAACGGTTTGCAGCTGGGCATGTGTGGCCCAGGAATCTACTCTCCGCACCCAGGAATCAAATATATGTGGATATCTATGATGTTAGGGAGGCCTGATGAACAGAAAATTGGGGGAAAGGCTCACCATATAGGGTGGGGAGAAAAAAAAAGGAAAACAGACAATAAAAACAGACACAACTTGGAAATTTACAATTCTTCTGGCCTGTCAGGACACAATTCATTTTCAAAATTCCATAATGTGTATTAAGGTGATGCCTAGACATCATAGACATTTGGACTGTAAACTGAGAGCCCTCATGACCCTTTCCTTATCAAGTTGGTTCTGGGAACTGTTTCTAACAGAATCAAGAAACAAACTTTAAGTTAAGCACAGATCAACATTCAAAAATACTCAGACTTTTAAAACAAAACCTACCTGGCATTGGAGGAAACGGTGGTCCCACAAAGTCCCCTGGTGGGACATACCATCCAGAACCTCCACAGACGTTTCCTTGAGGAGGAGGTGGTGGGATCTGGCCTCTTGGATCAACTATAAAGGCAGAGCCCTCAGATCCTCTAAGCTCAGAACCAAGTGGAGGAGTCAATTCATGTCCAGCTGCATCATGTGCATCATGGCCAGAGGTGGGCAAACGTGTCTCCTGGAACAGAGTGACAATATGCTGTCAGTGAGGTAGGTTGCTTCACTATCCCTTTACCGGGATTGTCAGGCACAGAAGAAAGCATTCCATGACATTCCAGCAAGCCATGTAACAGCCCCAGTTTGCCACATGTGTACAGGTGCCGCCTACTTGCTATCCTAACTAGGGTTACTATTTCAGCACAAATCGTTAAACATGGCAGTGACACTCTCCCTATTTCACCCTCAAACAAAAACACAGTTCATGCTGATCTAGATAGACAGACACTTTATGAAACAGATATGCACCAGGAGGTAGGTAGAGACAATGGCCTTGAATACATGAACTCCCATTCAGATATTGGTATAGTTCTGTCAGTATGTGGCCACATGGTCAATACAGTGGATCAAGACTGGAAGCATCTCTAATGGAAAAACCTATCTGGAATCGAAAATAACGATGGTTTTTATCAGACACACACAAATAGGAAAACTCTTGAGTTGAGCATATTTCCACAATGAACAAAAACAAGGCTGTGTGTTAAAAGTAAAATAGATACATATTAAGATTCCAGTAAGATTTGCAGGACAGGAGTCTGAAAAAGAGCATTGCAATTGAACAAGTGTTGAATGTCATCTAAAAGTGTTAAAAGTTGAAGTGGGAGATATCATTTTTTATTATTATTATTTTTCTCTTGTTTTTGTTAGCATTTTTTTTTTTCATTTCACAGAAAGGGCATTTTTGACTCCATGTATGTCTGCATACTATTTTCACTCACTGTTCTTGAAGGGCAAAATAGGACATCAGATCCCTTGAAATGGAGTTAAGATGGGTGGTGAGCCACCACAGAGTTTCTGGGAATCAAAACCAGGTCCTTCAAAAGAGCAGCGAATGCTTTTAATAGTGTATGCCTTTTCAGTCCTACCAGGTTTTCAAGGCACATTCTGTCCATATAGCCCACGCAGGCTTTGAAAATGCCATGCTCCTGCCTGAATCTGCAAAATGCTAGGAACACGTGGGCCATCAATCCCTGGCCCATGATCTGTATGATTTCACAGAAGGTTACAGGTCAACAATGAGTGGTGATGCTAGGTCTAAGTATACTTAATAAATATCACAACGCACAAGAGCTCAAGTCTTGTTCTAATGAAACCTAGAAACTCCTTGTGGATCCACGGGTAGATGTCAATTTCCACAACTTACCACGGGGTCGTGTTTGGTGGCACTCTTCCTGGACTCCAATGTTGAGTACACTGGCTCACCTAGAAGTTAAACCAGGAAAATTCATGAGTTCTCCCTTTATTTTCAGGAGGTTTCTCAATCCAAATACCACTGACATGTCCCATTCCCCTTGTCGGGATAGAATACAGGGCGACAGGAATACGATGGCAATGCTCATCACGGTGACAAAAGCAGCCTCAGACTTGGGAGAATTTCGATAGAACACATATGGTTTTGAAGTGTGCTGGTGACATGTACAGCTGGCTCTTAGGCAATCTTGCTTATTAGCCTTAAAGAACAACTAGAGATTCAGCATTCACATCCTGTCTGCATGGTAGGCCAACCTTTCCTTCAGGACTGGACAGGCACTGTTATGGTTGAGAACCCTTACAAGTGACTCAACAAACATATAATGATAAGTTCAATTTCTTAATATTATTTTTTGTTTATGTCCATTGCATTTATAACTACAACAGAAACACACCTTTCCTGATTCAGTGTATAATGAGTGACAGTAGCAGGCAACCTGACAGGTTAAATCTACTAAATATAAATGTTGGAATAAGATAATTTATTAAGAACAAGAAAACAAATTATTTTACAGGTAGTCGTTTAAATATCCACTGGCATTGGCCGGCTTCATATCG